TTCTACACTCAAATCATAATTTCAAAACTCACAAACTCAAAATACAACTGTATTCTCAAATCATAATTCTAAAACTCTACCAAACGCAACCTAGTTTTTAGATGGTTTGGAATGTATGGATAGTTTTTTTATTTAGAACTTATGGATATTTTTTATGGACGCTTGAAACAATATTTTAGTGTTTGATTGATGTTTTGTGATGCTTGTTTATAATATTTGTTAGATTGTAAAAAATTGGTCAAATAGAACATGTTGAATTTAAAATTTAAAAATAAAAAAAAACTGCATATTCTACGGTAGGCATAATAAGTTATTGTATTACATATTTTACGGCACGCAATCAGCATCGTTATTTGCCTCACCAATTAACGGCGTTCAAAAGTAGTCATAGAAAAGTAACAACGATGCACAAAATCTGCCGTTAAACAGTTTTTAACGGCGTACTATGGCACGTCGTAGAAAAAGTAACTACGACGCACAAAATATGTCGTTAAATAATTTTTGATGGCGTACGAAGCAAGTCGTTGAAAGTGAATGACTTTCCATGACTGGTCATAATATGACGCGCGTTGCACGTCGTAGAAGGGTTTTTACGGCATGCATTGCGCCGTAAAAACCCTTTTTTGTTTTAGTGAGGGAAGGAGTCTTAGCCATGAAGGCTACCATAAACCTAGCATCAATGACCATCAACTCTAACCAGTACGGCTAAAGTTACAAAGGTGCAAAACTCCCACGTATATAACATCAACTCTATCATCAAAAGATGAGAGTTACAAAGGTTGAATAAATAAATAAATAAATATAATGCTATTTAAATAATCTAGCTAGATGGGTCACAAAATTGTTACGGATGTTGGGTCACAACCCAATCCAAACCCAGTCTAACATATGCACAAGACAAGCCCAGTTCGACATAGCACAATCTAGCCCATACCCAAGACTAAGTCCAACACATGCACATACACAAGCCTAGGCCAATCCAAACCAAGACTAAAACTAAGTCCAAGTCCAAGCCTAAGCCCAGGCCCAAGCCCAAGCCCAACTTCTATTGATGCCCACTTTATGAGACAATTCTCATTCACAACTCAATGGTTTCGGCCCATCATTTTTATATTATAATCTTTTCACCTGAGAAAATACAAAGACCCACCTCAACAGGCGATTGAGTCCGACTTTAATTTCGAATTAAAATTGCCAAAAAATCATTATTTTTCAACACAGACATGTGGCATGACAACAGCGCTGCAGAAATAACAGGACCAAACACAAGCCTAGGCCAGTCCAAACCAAGACTAAAACTAAGTCCAAGTCCAAGCCTAGGCCCAAGCCCAAGCCCAACTTCTATTGATACCCACTTTATGAGACAATTCTTATTCACAACTCAATGGTTTTGGCCCATCATTTTTATATTGTAATCTTCTCACTTAAAAGAATACAAAACCACTTACACCCACCTCAATCGGCAGTTGAGTCCCACTTTAATTTTGAATTAAAGTTGTTAAAAAATCACTATTTCCCAACACAGATATATGGCATGACAACAACACTGCAAAAATAACGGGACCAAGCAATGAAGTGGCAGATGTAAATCCATTTAATTAATTCAATTAAATAGATAATGGAAGATACTAGGTCAGTCCAACTATCCTAAAAAGTTGGAAGTGGTTGAAACCCATGTCCTACAATGGTGCTGGAAGTTATCCCACGTTCTTAAAAAGGTGCTAAGCCAAAACACAAATGGAGATTACATTGAGATTTAGTGGGACACATAGCAACCATCTAATGAGATATTGTTAGTGGTCAAAGTTGTTAAAATTGGGTTTCAAGACATAAATCATGGGACACTTGGCAGCTAGTGGTCAAAGTGGTTGCTAAAATTGGACTTCAGCATAAATCATGGGACACTTGACAGTTAGTGGTCAAAGTGGTTGCTAAACTTGGGCTTAAAAGTAGGAATCATGGGACACATGGCAAATTTCAAGCTACCATGTTCCTGGCAGTTAGAATAGAAATGGGAGGTCAAATTGCACTATAAATAGACTCCAAAGCCAAAATTTGAAGAGGTCAGCACCAAACACTCAACTAGGAGTTATTTCATACATTATCTTAGCTATTTTCAACTTTTATCTTCAATTTTTACAATTAGTTGTTTAGCCAAATTAGCCTTAGTTAGATTAGCTAATTGTACTTTATTCTCATTAATGAAAGCGTAATTCTAGTTTCTTTGTTCTAATTGTTCTTCATTCTAGTCAATGTAAGATCAATTTTATTTCACTATCACTTAAAAAAATATTGAAATGTAAAACTCAACCGGTTGTCCATCTTCCTAACCACAGTCAATTCCTGCATTAGAAATCAAAAATTTATACCTTGGACTAGGTTCAAAAGTCCGGGCACGCCCTCCCAAGCTGAAGTATCAACACTCTGCGCCAAAAGTCGTGTTTTTCATTTTTGAGGATAAACAGATATATAAGTTGCTAATGGTGGAGAACGGTTTACGAAGGGAAAAGACAAAGTGGCTAAGGACTATCGAAGCAAGAATGGGAAATGATCAGAAGAGGTTGATAGAAAAAAGTTTTTTCACGGGATAGGATGTTTGAAAGGGATTGTGTGAATATTGTCGGAGTGGGAGAAGAGTTGTTAAAACAAGACAACGAAAAAGGATAAAATTTTATTTTCAAAACACATTTTGTTTTCACGTACCATTTTTGTAATTCAGGTGTCCCTTACGTGTTAATGTTGTCATTGTCTTTTTGTCATTCCTATATACAATGCCATTTATTGGAAACAAAATCATGGTTCATTGTACAAGTGCAATTTTCCTTTTATTTTAGTTTTAGAAGGATTATAAAAGGCACAAGTGGTTGACCCCATAGTAATTATTCAATTTAAAATAAATTCCTGTGGACATTGATTCAAGATAGTTTGTGTACTTGCATAATTAATTCTTCTTAACAAACTAATTAATCAGGAAAAAAATCAATTATCAGCCAATTATCCCCTGTTTTAAAATTTTAAAATATAACAAAAATGTAATTTGTTTCTAGCTCTCTCCCCTTTTTTTGTTTTTTTTCCTTAAAAAAATAAATTTGATTTGTCTATATTATCTAATTCTTTTTTTTTTTTTTCTAAATTGCAATGAATAAATTTTAAAAAAAAATTAGGTTCAAAGGAAGACACTGTAATAGTTAGTGCACCACCAGACTGCATAATTAGAGATCAAACTGGAAATATTTATTATTTTATCTCTCTCACTATCATTTTATATATTAACCACACCAAACATGCTACAGTCAAATGTCTTCCAAAGCAAACCAATAACAATTGATCAGTAGGGCCTGTTTGTGCAAAAAGAATATTAAAACATGTGATTGAGGTTTACCAAATTTAAATACATGCAGGTATGTAGAATTGCTCAACCCACAATCATTTAAGATATCATTAACGTTTAGGATGTATTTGTATTTGGATTTAGAAGAGAATGAAGAAATGTAATAGGCCCTGTAAGAAAAATTTGTCATAAAAAAAAGTCACTAATTGTAAGTTTTAGCAATAGGTCCTAATAGTTAGATTTAATTCTCATTAAGTCTTACTGAAAATAAATCTTAGTAAAATTATCGCTGAAAATAATTTTTGTGTGACAATTTTTTATATATGTTGCTAAAAATTGACAATTAGTAACTTTTTTTTGTCATGATTTTTATAAATTGTAACTAAAACTTACAATTAATGACTTTTTTTATAATAATTTTTTTTCATAGGACCTATTAGATAATAAGTCCACTTATTAGGATCTATACGTAAATACCCCTAAAATTAGAAGTTAAATTTTTTTCTCCGTTTCTCTTTACCTTTCTAAATTTCTACCCAAATTCATAATTTAAATACATATTATTAGAAATGGTTAGTATGACAAGGGAAAAAAATATTATGACTTCACTCTCATATTAATTTTGTGACTCATCTAATAAGTTCAAGTAATTGGTCTGGAACAAACGTAGACTATGCCACACTTTGAAGCTAATCAATAATTACTCATCAAATTCAATTATTATATAGTAATATCTTTTTGGTGTTATTGTCTAACATTTTGTCCAAGCCATATCCGTTCTTTCTTTATTTTTGACATATTTATTAATAGGAAAATATTTCAGACACTTAATTTGTCATTTCTAAAAATTATCTTAATGATACGTCTGACAAATGTCAAATTTTGATTTGTCAAACACTTCATCATGTGAGGTCTAATCTTAATGCCACATCATTAGGGATTATTTAGATATGATAAATTAAAGAGATGTAACATTGTTATTATTAGTAATATTTAAAGCTTTTGTTATGATAGATACTTCCTTTTCTTCAAACAAAATGTGTGATAAAGAATTCAAAGATTTTCTTATTCCTACATATTATTATGAGTCTTGCTAACAAGTGCCTTTAGTGCATAAGTAAAAGACAAAAAATTTAAAGAATCCAAGATAATTTTTACTAAATTTAATACATTTTTACTGAAATCAATACACTTTTTAATAATTTTATATATTTTTAAATTACTTTATACACACTTTTCAACATTAAGAGGTTGTTTAGGATGACTTAAATAAGTACACTTTTTGTCTTTTTACGAAAAGATGTGCAAAAAAATAGAGAGGTGACGTGATGAAAAAAAGATAAAAAGATGAATTATTTTTAACTTCCCAAACTTAGCCTAAATAATACATAAAGGACACTTGTTAGCATTGACCTATTATTATTAGCATCTTCGAGGAAGGTACCTCATTTCGTGTACTTCAAAAAAACAAAAACAAAAAAACAAACCTCAATAATATGTTTGATAATTATCATTTTTTTATTTTTTATTTTTTTGATAATAACCTGATGAAACAAAACAATGACATGTTTGGTGCAACTATTAAAACAACTTAATATATTACAGATTATAACTTTGAATAAAAAAAATTTAGATTTATATCAATGTCGCAGTACTTATGAATTCAAGATTTTTACTTTATATGCTCATCAGAGTCATAAAATATACACTATGATTCTAATTTTTTCCATAGTACATTGATATAGCGGGTGGGAATTGAAACCCCACTTGATGAAGCCCAACTACAGACTAGCTCATCGTATCACTATATATTTCCCTACAGTTTTTACAACATAATTCACCAAGCAATCAAGCATGAATAATATATGAGGCCTACTAGAAATTTTCAAGAAGATTGAGCAGAGTTCACACATGTAGGTGGATTCTGTTTTCCTGAGAAACTTGGCTTAATGTTGGCACATTGTGAGGTAGCCGGGCCTCCTGCTCCGCTGTATGACAGGTCTATGTCACCGATCTCCACATTTTCACAAGGGTTTCCCTTACTACAAACAAGCTTCACCGCCACGCGGGTTGATGAAGTTCCCCTAATGTTCTTGAAGCTCACATTGCTGATCTTAACAAGTGATGGCTCCTAAAAAAAGAACCATTTTATTCTATTTAGTTTGTAAAAATAACGAAAAAGCAGTGTCCAAATATGTTACCTTTGATGTGCACTGGTTATAAGGGCAGTACTCTTGATCGATGACGACAGGATTGCCGACATTGTTCATTATAATGTCCTCGAAATGCATGTCAGCTGCGGTCCCAGCAGCAGGGGAAGCGGGCCACGTTTTGACCCTGACACCGTTCGACGTGTTGATCAGGGTGCAGTTCTTGACTGTGACACCGCTGACGGGTTGTTCATTTTTGTACCGGCCGAGGCTTCCCACGCTGATGCCGTGGCCGGGCCCACAGGTCACTCTCTCGACGGTTATCTGTTGGCTGCCATGGCCAACTGAGACACAATCATCTCCGGTCTTTATCTTTGAGTCTATTATGTTGATCCCACTCGAGCGCCCGATGTGGATTCCATCTGTGTTGACACTGTTTTCAGGCGCTGTGATGGTAAAGTGATCAAAAGTCATGTTCTTGCAACCCAAAAGATTCACGTGGAAGTTCTTGCTGTCCAGGGAAGTTATGTTGCGGACCACCGAATTGGTGACAGAGTTAAACCTCATGTTCTGTTTTCAAGCCATGAACATAACATCAGATTTCAAACAAACTCACAAAATGAATTACAGAATAGAAATAAGAGGTGCATACGCCACATAATAGAGGCCAATCCCAAATGCGCGTCTCATCTTGCGCTCTACAAATGGATTTTGTGCAATAAGAACTATATATATATTTATACAAAGGTTACCATGGCAAATTGTTTGCACTCGGGATTTTTGTCACAGTGATTTTGGCTCCAAGCAGTGGGACCTTGGCCGTCGAGAGTTCCAGTACCAGAAAGTGTGAACTGATCAACACGTTGGATGGTAAGCCAGCCGGCTTGCTTGAATTGGCCTGGATCGTCCGGGGCTTTGAGGGTCCCTTGGATCTGAAGCTCTATAGGACCCTTGCAAGGCCCTTGAAGGGTCACTTCATTCATCAAATATGTCCCTGCAGGTACCACAATTTTGCTTGCACTTGTTGAGGCACATGCCTCTTTCCAAGCACTCAATATAGCCTATAAAGAATTAAAAATTAAAAATTTCAGGAAAACAAACAGTTTAAGGAAAAATTAAGATAATCGTATGCTAATTAATCGTCTTAAATTTGCAGTGTAAATTCTTACCTGGCTAATATCGGTGTTGCCCACCTTGGCACCATATTTTGTTACATCAAAAACACCAGACTGAGCTTTAATTGTTTGTGCTAACAATAACAACAAAGAAATTGACGTAATAGTACTAAACTCCATAGCCATATCCTTAATTTTATCTTCTTCGTTTTGTCTTACTCTTGTTCTTATTTTTGATAGAATGATGATATATAATCTTTGTTTGAAGCTAAATATATACATACACACAATAAAAGAGAATTTGAGACCACTAAAGTTCTAAACCAACTTTTAACTAATTTATTTTTTGAGGTTGTAATGTTTCGATTCCCACTTTCTATTATAAGGCAATTTCATGTATACTAAAGATGTCAATAAATGAGCATGATTTTAATTAGTATTAACCACTTAATAGTCCTAGATTGGTTGTGATATGTTCCTTTTTTCCTTGGTTAGGGTAATAGGGAATAAAAATTAAGATTACCAACGATTTAATGTTGTTCAATATGTGGATATTAAGACATCACATATTATTTGAAATTAAACTAAAATGTACACTTTGATACTTTCTCTTCTATCAGAAGTAGGATGCAAAATATGTTAGAATGAGAAGACACTTGTTTATTCGGTGTAATGCCTGAGTTTGAATCTTACTGTTCTTTTTTACTGTAACTTTTAAAAATAAATAATTTTTAAAAAATTATAATTATTTACAATGTAGACTTTTCCAATATATATGCGACCATCCATTATCCTCACATATCAATCGAAGTAGAATATAGAGATATGATCAAAGCTTGTGTTTGGTAATAATGGAGATAAGTCACAAAAGTGCTTGGCATTGGCAAAGGAAAGGCATTTCAAGTAAACTAAATACTTGTGTCTGACCTACCCAAAAAAAGCAAGGAAAAAGCAAATAAATGGTCAATTACATTTTTCACTCTTAAATTTTATTACAATAATTAAGTTCATAAATTTTAACTCGGATTTTAATAAGTATCCTCCCATCACTTATCTTGTAAATTCACTACAAAAAATTAAAGTTTTAGAGATCAAAATTTAAGGATAAAATTATTTTTTAGAGATCAAATATTTTTGTTATAAAAAATGTCGTTATTATATTTTTAACAACAAAAATTAGACATTAGGAATAAATTATTATCCTTTTAAGACCAAATTTTTTATCTCAAAAAAATAAATCATTTTTAGACCAAATTATTTTATCACTAAAAGTTTATTTATTAGTAACATTTTTCAAATTTTATCACTAAAAATCTTATTTTTTACTTTTTAAAACGACTTTTTAACAACTATCCTCATGACAATGGAAATTAATCCCTAAATATTTTTTGCAACAAAATTTTCACTTTTAAAGACCAAAATATTTAGTCTCTAAAACTCTTATGTGTTGTAGTGGTTTTTAGATGAAAAATGACACATCTTAGGGACATTAAGAAAAAATATCATATGTTAAATTACAGTTTTCACCTTATAACTTTTACTCAAATTTCATTTTAGTTCATCATATTTAAACTTTCAATAAATTTTTAAATAATGGGGTGCCAAAATAACCACATTAAAATACGAGTTGAAATCTAAAGATTTATTTATTATAAACTAGTAATTGAAGGATTAAAGTAAAATTTAGATGAAATTTTAAGAGTAAAAAGTGTAATTTATCCAAAAATAAAACATATCAACTAGGACATTATTATTAGAGTCACAACCAAACACAACATAAAAATTTTTTAAAAAAAAATTACAGAAGATATTTTCTTTAAAATGATTTTTGCGAAAATGGAACTAGAACTAGAACTAGAACTAGAACTAGAACTAGAACGAGGCTATATATTGGACACAAGTGGGTAATATATATTGGACACAAATTGGTTCAATATTTATTAGTCATTTAAAACTAGAAGAACTTGGCTAGCTAGCTCCTTTTCAAGATTGAATAAAAATAAGTGGTGCTGGAGCTACTACACGTCCCTCGGATAACCCAACGATCATCATGGGATGTTTTGAGTAAAATATAAACCTTAAAAGTTGCTTAACAAATCTTGCAATTTTCCTGATTGGACACTCAACAATTGGTACCGAAAATGCCATGAAGTGTAACTCATGCCACAAGGAAAAACTCGAACAACCTTCTATTTAAGGAGACTTGTGTCTAAAACTGATATAAGTAGGGTAGTTACAGAATATTTAGGAGCACAAGATAACTTTCTAAAACTTTCAAAAATAGTGCCCCGCGACTTCGAGAGAAGGGGTGCCACGTCACAAAAGGGTTGCAATTAGTTCATACAAGCAACTGCTTCAAAAAAAAAAAAAAAAAAAGTCCTTGCAAAATTGTTAGAGCATGTATAAGGGTTGATGCTTGCCCACTGCTCGAAAGTTGAGAAAGCAAGTGAGCTGGTGACAAGGGACAACCAACCATAGAACAAATCCAACAATACTTACTGTGACAAAACAAGCTTGAACCCACAAAAAACTCCAGCCTAATTTTAGGTAAGGTTGTCTGTGAGGCCTTTATGAATCCCAATTACTTAGTTAATTAGGAGATCAGATTACCTTTCTCTATATTTAGGGTTAAAAGTCAACTTATTTAAAAAATACATGGCCTCAGTCCACCGGGGACTTGTTTTGGGATGTAACAATGCACATGTACCATCTAAAAATCCATTTGGCTTCAAGGAGTCTACAAATGGTTACATAATATGTGCCACGTGTCCACAATCATTATAGACAACATTTGGAATCCATCACAAAATCGAACATAACCATTTCACATGAGATAAATTTCACTTTTTTGTGAGAAGGTTGTATTTGATTATGTGATTAATTTCTAAACAACCAAAAGAATTGTTTGAAAAAGTGATTGATAAATAATGAAATGAATTATGGTTTGTGCTACGATTTGAGAAAAGTAAAATTTAAATTTAAATCAAACTACAAGGATAAAAAAGTGTAATTTACCCATTTCTACATCAGCACTGCTTCTAAATCACAAGTTGTATAAAAGATAGTTAACAGACCTATAAAATGCCTTCCAATTACATTGCCAAAAATTACACAAACTCACTGCAACTTGCTACTCATGCCTGAGCACATTTATGAACAATGTAATTAGTCTCTGCACAACTCAATATTTCCTTTTACTGACTAAAATCTTTCTCATAAATAATTCACCTCATTACTCACCCTCATTCCAAGAAATTTTTTTCACAATTCAAGAGATATACAATATATCTGTTTTACTATCTTTGATCTACGTGTACACTAAGGCCTTGTTTGACATGATCTAAATAAGTCAAAAAGTCACTATCTTATTTAAGTCATATCATCCTATTTAAGTCACATCACCTCTTTAACACATCACATCAAACCCAACCTATACCCAACCTATATTTCATAAAAAGTCAAAAAGTACACTTATTTACATCATCCCAAACCACCCCTAAATAATTGTCATCATAGCCCGGTTGGGTTGCAAGGACTGCCAAGAATTGCCAACTACAAGCGTGTCAAAACGATGTTCTGTTTTCAGTGGCATACCTGGTTCTGCTAACAAAATCATCAATTGCCATGGTCCCAAACTCCCCACCAAACCTAGATCTAACTGCAACCATTTGTGTTTCAACTCCTTAAGCCCCACGACGGCCATCAATGGGATTTTCTGCTTCTCTGCATTTCGAATGAGCTTGCAAACTTCTGCCCTAATACCACTTGCTTTCGGTTTTCTGGTCAGTTTATTGCAGTACTAGAGCAGTTCATTGCAGTACTGGAGCCGTAAAAGAACACAATTTTTCACCCACTAGCAAGGTTTTGAAAAGCGGTTGTGGTCACCGTAACGGTGGCGGTGGCGCGGTTGCGGAGTGTAAAGACCGTAGCGTAACGGTTGCGGTAACCGAAACCGTGAATTTTTTTTTTTTTTTGCACAATTTGAAAAAAACTTACCGATACGCACGTTTTTTTTTCCATGATCATATTTATTGGGTTTTAAAATAAATATTGATCAATGTTTATGAATTTTTAAGTTTGATCTAATATATTTCATATTTTTAAATCACTATAAATTGAGTTTTTTACATTTTATTTTAATAATTAATTATTTTATATTATACAAAAAATCAATCACTAACTATTATATATAAGATAAACAATGACAAAAGTAAGAGAATAAATAAAAACCTAAATATATATATATATATATATATATATATTAATCAAGCCAAATAGATAATAACCACACTTATTATTATTATTATTATTATTATTATTATTATTATTATTATTATCAAACAATATATAGATAGACACACAAACAAAATGGCTGAGTGATAACAACTGAATAAAATAGCATAGCTCTTACAACTTCAACAAATCAATAACATGTTCTTCATCTTCCCTATTCTCTCTCTATCTCTTGTTCCTCCATCTTCCATCTTCTCTCTATATCTCTCTTCCCTTATTTTCAACTTTCTTTCTCTCTTTTTTTTGTGTTTTTTCGAAAAAAGCAATTTGGAACCGTTACGTAACGGTGCGTAACAAGCCGTTACGGCACCGTTACGACCGCTATAGCAGCCGCTACGGCCGATACACCTGTGAATCTCACTCACACTGCAAAAGCAGCCGTAACGGGAAGCGGTAACTACCACAACCGTAACGATTGCGGCCGCTTTTTAAAACCTTGCCCACTAGAAACATATTATCCATAAATCATAGATCAAATATGAGAATAGTATGTATCATATTACATGTAACATAATGTCTACAAACTTGAAATGCCAATCAGTTTTTTATTTTTTTTGGCATAAACTTTGAATAACTATGTATAAATGCATATATAAATATATCAATAGTCAATGGTGCAAAGTTTCTACTGTCATGCCTCGCAAAAGTGGCAGTGCATAAGCATAGCAGAAGTCAAAACACTGATAAAACTCGATTAGGAATTTTTTCAGCGTCGGTATGAGGAATTTTTTGCTAGATTAGGTTTTCTTTCATATCAAAAATCTAAAACTTATGGAATGGAAAAAACTGTAAAAAAAACCAATTGAGTTGTACATACCTGTGAGTCTGACTGGTAAAATCAAGGTTTTAAAAAGCGGCCGCAACCGTTATGTAACGCCGTTACGTAACGGTTTTGGCGGTTACCGCCATCCGTTACGGCCGCTTTTGCAGTGTGATTGAGATTCACAGGTGTGTCGGCCGTAGCGGCTGTCGTAACAGTGCCGTAACAGTCGTAACGGCCTGTTACGCACCGTTACGTAACGGTTTCAAATTTTTTTTTCGAAAAAACCTACAAAAAAAAGTTGAAAATTGGGGAAGAGGGATAGAGAGAAAAGGGAAGATAAAGAGAGAAAATAGAGGAGCATGAGATAGAGAGAGAGAAGAAGGAAAATGAAGAACATGTTATTGATTTGTTGAAGTTGTAAGACCTATGCTATTCTATTCAGCTGCTATCACTAAACCATTTTGTTTGTGTGTGTCTATCTATATATTGTTTGAAAATAATAATAATAATAAGTGTGGTCATTATCTATTTGGCTTGGTTAAAATATGTATATATATATATAGGCTTTTATTTATTCTCTTACTTTTGTCATTGTTTATCTTATATATAATAGTTAGTGATTGATATTTTGTATAATTTATTAAAATAAAATATTAAAAACTCAATTTATAGGGATTTAAAATATGAAATATATTGGATCATATTTAAAAATTTATAAAAATTGATCAATATTTATTTTTAACCCAATAAATATGATCATGGAAAAAAAAATATGCGTATCAGTAAGTTTTTTTCAAATTGTGCGAAAAATAAAAAAATTCACGGTTCCGGTTACCGCAACCGTTACACTACGGCCTTTACACTCCGCAACCGCAACAGCAACAGCGTCACCGCCACCATTACGGCGACCGCAACCGCTTTTCAGAACCTTGGGTAAAACTCAAGCTTGTGTTGGACAAAGCCATAATGGAAAATCTCCAGCATAATGCTCTATGAGGACTCCAAAGAACCGCTCCAAGGATCCAAGAACTACTCTGTGAATCATGATGGGCCGCTTCTTCTCCAAGTTTGAATCAATATTCGTAATGTCAAAACGCTGTAGTAAATTAAAATCAACCTGTACACATGGAAAAAGAAAATTATAACTGTCTGTTAGAGGATTTCATCACATTTTACACTATAAAATCCTTCAGGCTTACAACCTACATGACTTATATCCAATTCATCGCGTTCTCAAATTTTTTTCAAGTTTCATCAAATGTGGTCGTGGTAATGCAGTCAAGCTGTAAAACAACATGGCCATGGTAATGCATTCAAGCTGTAAATAAATCAAATAAAAATATAAGTCGTTTCTAAGTTCAGGACTTGCCTGTCTGGTTGAGCATTGGCACTTCCTTCCAAGAGCATCCTCTATCTTGAGATCAATCTTTGGACCATAGCCCCCTTCGTCACCTCCCACAGCTTTTTCAGGCCTGGTTAAAAGGTTCACTTAATATTTCTTCCATGAGATCTAGGACACCCCTGATCTCATCTTTAATTTGATCATCTAAACAAAAAATGTGTGCATCATCCTACAATTTCAATAGAAAGTGAATGTGTATATTATTCCAAACACCATGATGTAAAATGTGTGTGATGACACAATCCATGCCAAGGCTTGTAGGCAAGGTTTTGAAAAGCGGTTGCGGTCGCCGTAACGGTGGCGGTGGCACGGTTGCGGGGTATAAAAGCCGCAGCGTAACGATTACAGTTACCGAAACTGTGAATTTTTTTATTTTTCGCACAATTTGCAAAAAACTTATCGATACGCATATTTTTTTTGAGAATCATATTTATTGGGTTTTAAAATAAATTTAGATAATTTTTTCATAACTTTTAAGTATGATCCAATATATTTCATATTTTTAAATCACTATAAAATAATTTTTTTTACATTTTATTTCAATAATTAATGACTTTATATGTCATAAATCCATGTTACACTTGTGGCAAAAATTTCTTTTATTGGACTTAGATGTATAAAATTATTTTTAATTATTATACTTGTGGGAGCATATGTGCATTTTAACTCAAATAGTTTTAAAAAAGTATATATTCTTAATGGCAGAACTTGACAAAGTACATAACATCATAGCATAAATCACAAATAATAGAGAATACATTTTACATAATGTTACTACTAAAATTACATAATGTCACCACCAAAATAAGTGACGTGGTGCATCTTGGGATTCAGATTGTTGAGCTTGATTGTTACTGCTACCTTTACCCCCACCAAAATGAGTGACATGGTGCATCTTGAGAATCAGATTGTTAAGCTTGATTACTACTACCTTTACCCCATCCAATAGGAAATATATAAGTAAATGTGCTCATCATGTCATCTTTTTCTGTTTCGTGTATTGGGAGAGAAAATGGATACCTTGGCTGAAAAGGATCAACATACTCTTGTTGGGCTTGTTGATAATTTGGCAAACCGTATCCTGGAGGACCATGTTGTTGAGGGGGCCAAGGATAATTTTGTTGAGGTGGGTAAGGATAGCTCTGGCTATCACTGCTATAGGATGGGTAAGGATGATATGGATAACTATGACTACTATCAGATGAATCAAGCTGTTATTCTCTACTTCTTATTCTTCTTTCATCCCTACGTGTATCACTACCACAAAACCTCCTAGGTAGTTGGGGTAAAGGTGCAACAGGTTCTCCAATATCATAATGTTCCCCAACATCACATAATCCAAATCCTCCAATAAAATCTTCTTCCTGCACCAAAACTAGTACCATCACCGCCATCACCACCATTGTCGCTGCCGCCACCACCACCATCACCGTGAGAAGTGCCTTCACCATCACCATCATCACCTCCTCCATCAGATTGTGTTAAACCACCACTATTATCACTTTGAGTTGGAGTAGGAGTTGAGCTTTGAGAAGTGCGTCGAGCTTGATATCTATGAGTGCCACCACCATCGTTTCCATCGCTGCCATCGCCGCCATTGCCATTGCTGTCGTTGCCACCACCACCATCATCATTTGAGACCAAATCTAGCCATTCAGAATTATCCACACCATTTAGCAAAGGATTTTCCCTTTCTTCTATCCATGGACTTATTGGATCATCTTCTTCAAATATATAATCCAAGTTAATAGAATTAAAACTCCTATCAATCTCCTCTTGGCTGCTTCTTTTAACGTGTCTCAATTTTAATCTCATGTTGTAGGTGATGAAGACTAATCTTTGGATTTTCTTATATTTCAATCTATTCCTCGTCTTCGTATGGATGAGACTAAAAGTACTCCAATTACGTTCACAGTGAAATGATGTGGTGGTTTGACTTAATACTTTCACAGCTATTTTTTGAAGTTCATGAGCATAACTGCCATGAATAATCCACCACTCAGCTACACAAAATTACATTACATTAGACATAAGTCAAAATATGATAAAAAAATTATTTAAGTATTTATATATTGTAAATTTGTAATTTTGAAAATAAAACCTGGATTTGATTGTTTCCATGCTCTTTGTGCTAAAAGAGTACCAAAAGTTTCCTGTTTATCTCGAAACAGCAACAACTACAATTTGGACAATCATTAAAAGTAACATTTGCAAAAGTAGATTATTACTATTAAAATTTAAATAATTGGTACGTATTTGATTTGTTGCTTTCACTTGAGCATCCATATTAGGCTCCAGTCTGGTAATTACTTTTTTAAGTCCATCCATCACTTCTCTTATCATTTCATTGGATGAGGTAACACCATATTGGAATTGAGGATTTAAAAAATATCCTTCAAAAATAAAAAGACAATTAATAATTGTAAATAAATATGCATTTTATAATTGAAATCGTAACACTTACCAGCCGCATGCAAATCTTGATGCAATTGAAAAGACCATCGAGTATCAATAATTTTTCAATACTCGGTGTAGTAGCGACAATCTCTTTTAATTGTCAACTTTGCTCTATCTATAACTTCATATATGAAACCCATTGTTGGTTTCTCATCTCCATCAACCAACCTCAATACTCTGACTAGGGGCTCATGAACTTTACAAAGCTCTGTTGCTTTCTGCCAAAACTCCTTTCCCAAAATAATTTTTTTCACATTGTAAGGCTGCTCAGTCTTTGCCTTCCCCCATCTAGAATTCTTCCACTCATCACTATTAAACATAGCTCTCAATTGTTGTTTATATCTAACAATACTCTCAATGGCAATAAAATTTGTAGCAAATCGAGTGATGGCAGGTCGACTCAATTCTCTACCTCCAGTGAATTTTCTCATTAAATCCAACACCCATCCACTATTATAAATGAAATTGGTGATGGTTTTACCATTTTCAATTACCTTTGCTACACTTTTCTTATTGGCTATGTCTTTTAGCATGAGATCGATACAATGTGCTGAACAAGCTATCCAATATAAATGTTTCCTTTTTCTCATTAACATTTTACCGACTGCTTTCAGTGCAGGTTCATTATCAGTTACCACTTGAACAACCTATTGTTCTCAAATTTCATCAACAACTTTATCTAACAACCCAAAATAATATTCAGCAGTCCTACTACCAATATTAGAAGCATCAATTGATTTGTGAAATATAGTACCTCTATTGCAGTACACTAAGAAGTTGATGATGTGTTGCCGAGTTAGACTGCTCCAACCATCACACATGATGGATACACCTCTCTCTGCCCAAATTCCCTTGAATGATCCTATCCATTCTGTCATTTCATCATGCTCATCATGCTCCATGCCCAAATATATTTCAGAAACTTCATAAGCACTAGGACCGTTTACTCTTGGCTCTACTTCAGCAGCAACATCAAGCATGGGTTGTGTATACTCTAAATCAACTGCATTGAATGGAATACGATTATAGAGTATAAACTTGGACACTACCCGTCCCAATCTCTTTTTTAGCTTCTGTAAATTCATTGTGGAGATTTTTCGCTGCTTTGTACTCTTGCTCTTTTGGAGTTGTACATCCATTGCCCTCAACCTTGCTGCAGGAGCATTGGGCGTAATCCAATTACGTCCACTCCCACCAGTTTCACGCACAGATTGTGATCGACGAAAAACATTAGCAATACCTGACCCTTTTGGCATTCTTTGAGCACTACCCTCTGCACCAGAACTACCACCTGCATCGTATTGTGATCCATGACCTGCAACACCTCGTCTACATTGTAGCCTTTCCTCCCATTGTTGTTGTGAACGAATACTTACTTGTCTAGCCCTGGCCATCTCTGGATCAGAGTCAGAGTCATCATCTCGAAGATCTACAAAATCTCCCTCTTCATTTTCATCATAGAGATCATCTCCCCTAATATGTGCTTTCAATTCAGCTTTTCTCTTTTGTTTGTTTACTTTACTCATTTTCTTATTTTGTAAATGTTTCATCATTTCTTGCATCACGTCTCTACTAACATTAGGACAAGAACGCACTTGTCCTGTTTGATGTGCTAAATGTTGTTTGAAACGCGTAATCCCACCTTTAATGTGATGTCCACAAAATTTGCAAATAATATGATGTCTAGTGCCTTCAACTTGAGTTCCAAATTTCCAACCAATATTATCACTTGGGGATTCATCATTGGCACCCTTTTGTCGTGGCATTTTTGAATATGAATTCTGCATCATTAATATATTTTTTTAATTTATTTTTAAATGAAATGATTGTAAAAAAATATTTAAAATTAAATACTAAATAAAATAATTATAAAAAAATATAACCACTATTTATACATTTGGATTTTACATGCTAATGTAATTAGGAATAAAGACATTTTTCATGGCATTGATTGAGCTATTGTTTTTATTTTTATTTTTTTTATTTTAGAGAAAGACATTTTTTAAAAAAATAAATAAATTTGTGCTATCAAAATTGTTGTCACAACACATTACAATAACAAATTTTTTTAAAAAAAGTCAAAATGGCAATCAACTAAATGTTGGTCCTAATCAAACGCACCCTTAATTTCAAAATGAAATCCTATCTTTATCTTTAATTTTGATTGCTTGTTGTGCTCATTGGTTTGGAAGGTATTCTTGTTTATGCATATTTTAATTAAAGTGTGATAGATTAGATTAGGACCAATAATGTAGTTATATTTCCTCGCTTTCTCTGGTGGGTAGTTTAGATATTGTGGATAAAATATGGAGTATTTGTAAGATATGGACTTGTTTATGTGGATAAAGAGAGTGTTCACCACTAGTCTTATTTTTTATAATATATCATTTATCTATGGTTGCAAATAGTTATCTTAGTAACTACCCTGATTATACTCAACCTGAAATTGTTTCCTTAATTACTTCTGGCTTCACTGGTATGCTTAAATCTTGGTGGGAAAAATGTCATAATGAAGATCAACGCGAATCAATTTTACATGCTAATATAATCATATAAAATTAAAAATAAATTATAAAGAATTTTTTTGAGGTATTGATTTTTTTTTCTTTTGAAAAGATATTTTAAAAAAAAAATAGTGACTTCAACATTGTTGTCACAACACATCACAATAACAAAATAAAAAATATTTATAATTAAATATTAAATGAAATGATTATAAAAAAAAATTGCAACAACTATTTATACATTTGGAGTTTACATGCTAATGTAATCATATAAAAATTAAAAAATAAATTATAAAGAAAAAAATTCTTACATAGTTGTTTTTTGGGCTTCAATCACTTGAGTATTTGTTATCTTTTTGAATAACCTGCAAGAAAAAAAAATTCAATAAAAATTGACATATATAAAATGTATTAATATAATTATAGGTGTTATGATTTTTAGATATTATAAAAAAAAATCAATCACTAATTATTATATATAAAATACTAAAAATAAATGCATAGCTTTAAATATATCACATAAATTTTGTAAGTTTTACAAAATTTAAAATCTGAAAATCATTGTAAAAATAAAATTAATAAAAAAAAATAAAATTTGCTAGACACGGGTGTATCTAGGAAGCTGCACACAAAAAAAAAAAAAAAAAAACAAATGTTATATTATATTATATAATTTATATACCTTCCCAAGGTGTATCTTCCCCAAGAAGCTACAAACAAAAATAAAATAAAAAAACAAAACAAAGGGGCAGCACTTTGGAGGAGATGAACGAAACAAAAAGAAGATCAGAGACTTCGGTCCAGGAAGCTGAGCAAACAAAACAAAACAAAAAAAGATCAGAGGAGATGAACCTGTGGAAGCAGCACTTCGGTGAAGACGTAAACAGATCAGTGTTTTGTGTTGAAGAACAAAGGGGCAGCCGGAGAGTCACAGAACAGAGGCAGGTTCATCTCCTCCCTCTTCCCTCTTCTCTCTTCTCTCTTCTCTCTCTCTATTTCTCACTCATATCATCCGTATTTCAGATCTGAAAATTTGTGGATGGATACACCTCACCTCGAAGTGGTTCATGTGCTGTAAAGCAAAGCATTTGAACCAGTGATTGAGCCTCTGAATAATAAAGGTATGTACCACATCTTTTATTTTTTTGTTTTTTTCTTTTGTTTGAACCAACATTTGCACTATCCGTATTTCTTTTGTTTTTTTTTTGAAAATAATCAGTGAAAAAAGCCCTGTAACAAGTGTAACGGGCCGTTACGCCACCGTTACGACCGCTACGTCGGCCGTAACGGCCGATACACCTGTGAATTTCAATCACACCGCAAAATCGGGGGTAACGCGTGGTACCTACCACCGAAACCGTTACGTAACACCGCATTTTTAAACCTTGCTTGTAGGTCACCAATTTACATGTTCATGAGTGATGCAGTACCACATTCAACAATAATAACTCCTTTACATACCCCACCCTCCACAAGCCCCTGTGAGGGCACACATGGGGGAGGAGGATCGGTCTTGAAAGAGATATGTCAGAGATACAATTTAAAAAATAAAAAATAAAAAATTTTGCCAATTTGAGAATGAAGCCTTGTTGCCAGAACTTAGCAAAAGATGGGTGTTATCCTAAGCAAAAATATACAGTCAGCAGTTTGTATGATACCCTTCTAAAATCTGCTCAACAGGCAACCTAGATGTCCGATATTGATCATATGAAATATTGGAGAATAGAGATCTAAAGCTAAGCATTTGATTTGAGATGTCCATGAAGCACATAATAATGTGATGCCACAAATCAACTTCGACAACTACCAGAACATCCAAAAAATATACGGACTAACAGTTTCCAAGTAAATCAGAGGAAAATGTACCTGTGCGAAACCTCTTACACGGAAAAGACCATGTAAGCTTCCAGATAATTCATATCTACATACAGTTCCCAGCTCTGCAACCCTGATTGGAAAATCCTTACAAGAGTGCAGCTTCTTTATAAACCAAAATATGGTAAGCACAGTTCATTGGTCGAAGCTGGTAAAGTTCTTCATCAATCTTCATCGGATCATACATATTCTCTTTGTAGAAATCGAGATGACCACTGATCTTCCAAAGATCTGCCTTTGCTACGTGGGGAATGTACAACAGATCTAACCATGTTCCATGTGAATTTTTTTCCAGGCATCTTCTATTATGTGTCTTACAATGGCCCCCTTTGGATGCCAGAACACCAAACCTCCACCAGCTTCGTCCTGCAGGTATTTCACAGAAGCATGAGTTTCAATCTGTAAATTAATATTTGCAGATGAATTTACAAGGAGTAGATGAATAATAGAAAATTAGCAACGTAAAGCCTTTGATTCCCATAAGAAGTTGCAAAACACAGTTTCATTGCAACTGCAGATGAAATCTACCTGTATCGAGAACAGATCAAGATCTTGGCCAAGGCACCTGTGATCCCAGTGTTTAGCCACCTCTTTAAAATGAAGGTATGCTTTCAATTGTTTTTCATCCTCCCATGCTGTGCCATAAATCCTTTGGAGCATCAGTTTGTTAGTGTGTCCTCTCCAGTAAGCACCAGCAACAGGTTTAAGTTCAACAGATTTCCTATCAATATTTCCCAGTAGACTCAACATGGGGCCCACCACAAAGGTCCCACCATTCATTACCTGAAAAGGATATAGAATAAAATAGTGAGTAGAGCAAGAATGACAAACAATTGCGGAAGGTTGAATGAACCCTACTGCATGAGATTTCTAATTATTCACACTAACAAAAAGCAAGCTTACCCTATTGAAGGTGAAAACAACATTCTTAACTTTAGTTATCATGCTTCTCACTTTAGCCTTGGTTGTGTGTTTTTCCTAGGTCGGTCATTTACTTGATTTTTCCCCTTGGAATAGAGTTACTTGATTTAACAAGCAATTAAACCCAACTACTTGGAAATTCTCAACAGATGTAGCAACCACATCACTAGAAATACAATCTCACAGTGAAAAAAATCTAAAAGTGGTTTTTTTTTTAAATAGAAACAACTGAAGAGAGGTTTTCCAACCTAATGAAATTCAAAGGGTTTGATTTCAGAAAGAGGTGGACACAAAAAAACCATGCAAGACATGCATTCAAAAACCTTACCAATGTGATAGATTGTGATGGTAACCTCCTTGATACTTTCCAATATTTCCATATTGTAAGGTTCACTGATAGCCTTTATTTGTCTCTGAGGTTCATCTCTGGTAACTTCTCCTCTAACCAGTGGCAAATTTCGACCAATGATGTGATCCTACGGATGATTTAAGAAATAAATTCTGTACCCTGAAACCATAGGCTAATGAATATTCTCCCAACTTCATGATCTTCCACTTAATTAAAGATGTAATGATAGTAATCATGAACTGAGTCGGCTCACCATCTCCTTCTCAATCCTTTTCAGGTCTTTATCCGTCAAAGGCTCCATAACAAAGTCATAATAAACCCCATTTTCTATCCATGGACCGATGGTCACTTACGCATCTGGGAAGAGCTTTTGAACAGCCATGGCCATCACATGAGCACACTGCATCCATGCATAAGATTGTTTAGTCAAAAAAATGTGCAGTAATTAACCAAGTATTTTGTCTGCTTATCTTCTGTTGGCATATGTAGGTGCATATGTATTTACTTGTGTTAATATATACATAGAGAGGGAAAATAATGTATTAGGATCAAATACTCTAAAAGCACGTAAACATGCCAAATGACATAACATAACATGAGCCAATATTGAGCTGTGGCAGTGCTTGAATCAACTTCAAGCAACCATTAGAAAGTTGTGGGCCGTTTGGGAATTTTAAAAAATGGACCAGGCCACTTCCACTATCTGTTTTTTCTTTTTTTTAAACCAGGTTTTAGGTACTTATCTCAAACAAGAGTGGGCTCCACATACTTTCAAATTGCATTTACCAAACTCTTAAAATGATCTTGAATTTGTGAAGAGAAAATAAAAGAGAATGAAAATTAAAAATAAAAAAAATAGCTTCTACCGCAATGACTTTTCTCTTTCCTTTTCTTTTCCCTTCACAAATCTCTAAACAAATTCAAGATCCAATCACAGACTTACGGGGTTTAAAACCAGTTAAGTTGTCTCTGCAAGAACCAGTTTCTGTGTTTGGTAATTGATTGCAATATACGCCATTTCATGTCCAAGTAGCATACAACAGTTTCATAGAAACAACAATAACAATGTTTTCTCTAATTCATAATAGTTGAGATAGATGGAGAGCCGAAATTTAGGTTCAATAATCTTTCTCTTAAATGGGCTTGGAAAATAAAAATAAAAATTCTATGCTAGTTTGTAAATTGTAAATTTCCTTTCATACCCTTACCAATCAAGCAAGGCATAACAATAAATTACAATCACATAACTAGCAGTATAATAATTAGAAAAATGTATGGGACCCCCAAACCGCCACACGAAAGTGATTTTGGCCCTCTATGTATGTGTGAGGCCACTCATATATGTGTATGTGTGGGGTTGACATTCAAGTTCATAGGAGTTTCGTGGGAGTGGAGTCTCAATCATTGCTCTAATAATTATTACATATAAAAAAGGGCGCATTTTGAGCTCATCCTAAATTATAACGAAAATCAAGAACAACAAACAAAAGATGAATGTAGGAATACTAATTGCCATATTTTTCTCGGCATCCAAACGGGACAAGAAAAAAAGACAAATCAACAAGGGGAAAAGTAAGGAAATACCGTGTGACGAATTCACAGAAGAGTCCATTCCTGTTGGTATCGAGAGCGAAAACCCTAATTTCTTTCGAGGCGGAGAAGAAGTTTTGGGGGGAGAGTAGAGAGAGAATGAAGTAGGGTTTGTGGATAGTCCAAAGGAGAGAGGAAGGGCAGAGAGAGTGAGATGACAAGCCATTCTGTTCTGTGATGAGCTGAATTATTATTGTGCCTCTGTTTGGCAACTTAGGTTTGGATTTTTTTTTTTTTTTTGATTATTTTAGTCACAAAAGATAGAATAGATTATTTTAGTCACAAAAAATAAAACATTACATCCAATTCATAATCATTATATTCTTTTTTCACAAAAAAAAAGGGTCAAAAAAACCAAAAAATCCTTCCCAAACCAAACTTTTTAGTCCAGACTAAAATAGTCAAAAAAGCCAAAAAGCCAATCCAATTTCCAAACCAAGCCTGTGTGGTTTGGTTTGAATTTTTTGGGTTAAATTTTTCAAAATATTTTTTTTTTTCTTGATTTTTTTTTAAGTGAATATTTTTTAAATTTTAAATATTTTTTTTAAATGCACATTATATATTTAAAAAATAAAAAAATTATAAAAAAATATTTTAAAAAATTAATAAATATATAAAAATATGAAAAATATATTGAACTCTTGTATTTTTTTGTGTGTTTTTGGTATTTCATGGATTTTAAAAAAAATCACAAAAATTATATTTTTTATGTATATTTATGTTAAGTGTGTCTAAAAATTAAAAAAAAATGTTTAAAATTTTCAAAAAAATCAGTAAAAACAAAAAAAAAATACAGAAAATAAAAAAGTGAAATTTTCTGAAAAGTATTTTTAAAAAACTAAAAACAAGCAAGCTAATTATTATTTTATTTTATTTTTTTTGGTTCTTAATCTATACAATTTTGAAAAATTGAACTGAGACATTTAAAATTTAATTTAATAATTTTACGTTCCATTTGTTTAGGTAAAAAATATTTTTTATTTTTTGATATTTAGGGTTGATTTGGAATGTTCTAAAAAAGTACACTTTTTGACTTATTGGCTTATGTGAGTTGGGTTTGGGTTGGGTTTGATGTGATGTATTAGAGAGCTGATGTGATTTAAAAAAGATGATGTGACTTAAATAGGATAATGACTTTTTAACTTTTTGTATTATTTAGTTTATGCCAAATCAACCCTTAAGCTTTGTTTATCTCAATTGAAAATATTTTTTATGATCAATGAAAAATAAATTTATTTTTAAAAAATAAAAAAATATTTTTTAAATTAAAATTTTGTTAATATTACCACACTACCACCAACACACCACTATCACCACGGCCACGCCACTGTCACCATCATTGTCGCCATCTCCACCTCCAATATTTTTCATGATCATTAAAAAAATAAACTTATTTTTAAAAGATAAAAAATGATTTTTAAAGTATTTTATCACTACCACTAACACATTAGCATCACCATAATCACTGCCACCATTATTATTGCTATTACTTCCCCCTCCAACTTTGTTCCACTGCCCCAAATATGAAAAGGATATTTTTTAAAAAAAATATTTTCAATTCAAATAAACAGAAGGTAAAATTTGATTATGTAATTTCTATTTTAGGACTTGATGATGTGCCAAAAATGTAGTTATCAAGTTCTTTTTCAGTAATCTGGTGATAATATCTCAGTGCATCTTTTTTCTTGTTCAAAAAAAAAAAGAATTACCTTTTCTGTCAAAAAAAATTTAGTCTTCTTATTTTGATCGTTGATTGAGCCTTCTTTTGGGATATGAGTTGACGTTTTATTTTTTTAACTTTTTGATTTTTATAAAAAAAATAATAATAATTATGATTTAAATGTAACATTTTAATGCACATTATATATTTAAAAAATAAAAAAATTATAAAAAAATATTTTAAAAAATTAATAAATATATAAAAATATGAAAAATATATTGAACTCTTGTATTTTTTTGTGTGTTTTTGGTATTTCATGGATTTTAAAAAAAATCACAAAAATTATATTTTTTATGTATATTTATGTTAAGTGTGTCTAAAAATTAAAAAAAAATGTTTAAAATTTTCAAAAAAATCAGTAAAAACAAAAAAAAAATACAGAAAATAAAAAAGTAAAATTTTCTGAAAAGTATTTTTAAAAAACTAAAAACAAGCAAGCTAATTATTATTTTATTTTATTTTTTTTGGTTCTTAATCTATACAGTTTTGAAAATTTGAACTGAGACATTTAAAATTTAATTTAATAATTTTATGTTCCATTTGTTTAGGTAAAAAATATTTTTTATTTTTTGATATAAGCTTTGTTTATCTCAATTGAAAATATTTTTTATGATCAATGAAAAATAAATTTATTTTTAAAAAATAAAAAAATATTTTTTGAATTAAAATTTTGTTAATATTACCACACTACCACAAACACACCACTATCACCACGGCCACTGTCACCATCATTGTCGCCATCTCCACCTCCAATATTTTTCATGATCATTAAAAAAATAAACTTATTTTTAAAAGATAAAAAATGTTTTTTCAAGGTATTTTATCACTACCACTAACACATTAACATCACCACAATCACTGCCACCATTATTATTGCTATTACTTCCACCTCCAACTTTGTCCCACTACCCCAAATATAAAAAAAATATTCTTTAAAAAAAATATTTTCCATTCAAATAAACAGAAGGTAAAATTTGATTATGTAATTTCTATTTTAGGACTTGATGATGTGCCAGAATATACTTATCAAGTTCCTTTTCAGTAATCTGGTGATAATGGCTTATTTTGGGAAGATGGTAAAAAGTGATTTTTTGGCTTTTAATCAAATTTTTGGCTTTTTTAGACAAATGATTTGGGAAATTGGTAAAAAGTGACTTTTGACTTTTTTTATTAATATTTGTTTATGATGTCAAATCATAATAAGATGACTTAACTACCCCCATTTATTTAAAATATTTACAACTTTACCTATGTAACACATTTTGACCCATGAGGAGTAAAATTATAATTTCACCGTTGGCTAAAAACCAACTTCCCAAATGAAAAAAAAGCCAAAAAAGTCAACTTTTGACTTTTGCTACTAACCAAAAAAAGTGACTAAAAATTATGTTGTCAAAATAAGCCAATATCTCAGTGCATCTTTTTTCTTGTTCAAAAAAAAAAAGAATTACCTTTTCTGTCAAAAAAAATTTAGTCTTCTTATTTTGATCGTTGATTGAGCCTTCTTTTGGGATATGAGTTGACGTTTTATTTTTTTAACTTTTTGATTTTTATAAAAAAAATAATAATAATTATGATTTAAATGTAACATTTTATTTTATTAATTTTTTAACATATCTTAACCTTTTTAATTAAAATAACTAAAAACATCCATGCCAAACATAACCTGAACGTGTCCATAGAGCTTATGTAGGCTGCTTGTTTGGTGATTTTTGTTTTTAGTGACTTTTTTTTTTTTTTGGTCCAACATTCAATTTTTACTGCTTTAAAAAAAATATTTGAATGCTTATTGAAAAAAGGTAATAAATGACAAAAATATATATATAATAATTTAATTGAATAAAATAGGCCTTTTGTCTTTAATGACATTTTTCAATAAACATTCAATTTTTCTTAATTACTTTTCATTCCAAAATCCCTCGAAAATTTAAAAAATGTTAACCAAAATAATTATATTAAAAATTTAGTCCAAATTTGGTTTTTTTGGCAAATGTACTAGCACCCTCAATCTCAAAATCCCAACCGATGAATAGCAGTTCAAGTGCCCAACCACAAAACTATTTTTGCTTTGCATTGATCTGTCTTTAAATCAATGGCATCTACAAAACCCCCAAAATACAAGTAGGCTTTTCTTGAAAACCAAAAAAATGGAGTCTTTAACCATTTTAATGAATTAACAACCTGATTTCTTCAATGGACCACCTACTAATCTTCCTACATATTCTTCATTATGCAACTCCATGTCAATCCTATTTTTGTCACTAGGAAACCTTATACAAGCTTTTCCTCCCTATTTTTGAGTGGAATTTTTCTATGGTGCCCAAGTAGTAGTTTTGGGGCACGGTGCCCTAATCAATCCCATCCATTCAATTCAAATGAGGAAAAAAAATCCCACCTTGATTGAGAATGAGTAAAACCGAATGCAAAAAAAGCAAGGTTGATATCTGGTGTTTTCGAGAAAAAAATAATAATAATAATAAGGCCTGCTTGTCACTGAAATTGATCCTACATACTAATCACACAACGTGATCAAACTTACTAGAGAATGTGACCAAACTTCCACTAAAAAAAGAAATCTACTTACAAGTAGAATTGATCCTTGTAATCACTCAATGTGATCTTACTTATCAAAATTTTCTAGGGCACCCCACATTCAAGTTAAGCGAAAAAATAAAACCACACTTTGGACTTCAACCATAAGTTCCCCCACTAATATGCAGTAGGTTTATGAGGCAGGACTTGTTCTCAGACCACACTTTGCTGCTGAATCAGTGTTAGGTTGAAATAGCAAAAGCAAGGAAAGGAAAGGAACCATGCAAGAAACACGAAATGAAAAGCATGAACAAGGAAGCAAAGTTTCATGACTACTCCAGATTTAGAATCTCTCTATAACTTAAAATGCAGTAATAATCCATAAAGAAAACTAACCTGCAACAACCTCTAAACTTCCTCCACACTTCGATCATCAGTTTCTCCTCCTAAAGCCTGAACCTCCTTACCTGCTTTCTCCTCCTAAAGCCTGAACCTCCTTACCTGCTTTCCTCACAACCCTGAAAATTGAGCTTTTCAAGCAGCGATAACGCTTTGTTTACACTGACGGCGATCAGGTATTTCAGTAAACAAACCATGGATATAACCTCAAGAGCCACCACAGTATTTTGTGTTCTTGTTTCTTTCTTCCTTGTTTCCTCTGCTCAGACATGCATAAACGACACTTTCACATCAAACAGAGTCTTTGATTCTTGCAATGACCTTCCATATCTACAGGCCCATCTCCACTGGAACTACAATCAATCCACTGGAGAAGTTGAGATTGCATACAGAGCCCATCAAATTTCTGAAGGATGGATTGCATGGGCAATCAACCCAACTGAGACAGGCATGATTGGATCGCAAGCACTAGTTGCTTTTCGTGATGCTAATGGAAGTATGACTGCTTATCCAACATCAATAACCAGTTACAACCCTTCGATGCTACCGGTAAATCTCAGTTTTCAGGTTTCAAATATCTCTGCGGAATATTCAGCCAATGTTATGACCATCTTTGCTGTTATCGGACCACTGGATAATGGAACTATTGCTAATCATGTCTGGCAGGCAGGAAGTTCAATTTCTGACAATATTCCTCAGATTCATTCTACATCTACTGCAAATCTTCAATCACTGGGGACACTAGATTTTCTGTCAGGTTAGAAAAAAAATAATCGAGGAAGTACAGCATGTCAGATGTCAAGTTTGAAGACATTCCACTATTTCAATTATCTTTGTTTAAATGTGGACCCTTTTCAAATCATCAGTAGGATTATGTTTTGGTCGGTACCAATGTTATACAAGTCACATTCTTGAGCACATTAGAAAATATTACATTCACATAATTGGCTATCATTTTAGTTGTTTGGCCCTGGTCCAAATTTCACAATCAACTACTTGCGTCGTGCCTCTTAGCATAGAGAGAATATGTCAGTTTAAAGAAAATAAAAAATAAACAAACAAATACAATATCTTTGTTGAGGACTTGAATTTAAATTGTAAACTTTACATATCAAGTCTTGGGCAAAGGAAATTACTTGAGAAGGAATGACCTAGCAAGATGGACAATTCGAACATTGCCACAGTTTAATACAGTTAACCTCGTAGATTCTCGCTACAAATGGGTACTGCAGGAACGAGTCTTTAGAAAATATATTGAAAAATGAGTCAATCAGCCAGGGTTAAGTGGGCTATGCATGTGTAACCATATTACCGGACAATTGCTGCAACTCCTCATGCTTTGGCTTTGTTATTGGTAACTCCAATGTTACCTGTTCAATATTTCAGACAAAAGTAAGTAATAAAATAAATGAGAATCTAAGAGGTTAATTGTATTAATCTAAGAGGTTAAATAATACTGTGTATATTTACAGAGTGTAGATGAGCTATTCATCAACCAACCACATAACATCAACATCAACAATTTATGGAAAGCCCTTACTTCTAAAATACCCCCCACCCCCAAACCAAGCTTTCACTTTTTCGTTTTTCATTTGAACTTCTCTTCATTTCAGCATGTGCAGTTCGTAGATTTGAGTCCAATTAATCAAATGCTTAAGACCATTTCAAGATTAATTTTGAAGAGAGGATGATTCATAGGTTTGGTATGATGAATTTGGAGTCTAGAAGCTCCCACTTCTTCATGGAACATGCACAAAGACCTGATTAATAGTATCACTCTAGTGTTCTAGTGCATGTAAAGATAAATTAAGCTCACCTCTTTAAATATTTCGCTACAAGAAACCTCCTGAAAGCCCTACACCAAGCAAGCGAAGCATTTAGTCCACCAAATAGGTGGTCAGATTATATAAGTCTACATAAAAGTCTACATGCATATGAATGTGTGTGCATGAGAGAGAGAGAGAGAGAGACCAGTTTTTTAAACAGAATAAGAGAAGATTCATTTGATTCTCCAATTTTGGCACGAAAGATGCGGATGGCAAGATTCTCAACTGCAAATGCCATCATCATCAAAACAGACTCCTTCCCAAGTCCTTTGCCACGACTGTCCTAGCCAAAGTGACATGAAATTCAACTTAAGAATTGTGTACGAAGTGGCATCCAGAAGATAAAATGTAATCAATAATGAAGGAGTGCAGCAAAAAAATTACTGCATTAATTAAGGATGTATGCACTCATACTCCAGAAGACATGGTATAGATGTTTATGCTTCAAAAACACATGTAATGAAATGATAGAACTTTAAAGAAATGATATATGGATTAATATGATAAATGGTGTTAATCCATCAAAGAGGTTTTGAAGGTTAGTTTAAGCCAATAATTTTGGTAGCATTTGGTAGAGTTTTAGAATCATGATTTGAGAATAGAATTGTATTTTGAGTTCGTGAGTTTTGGAATTATGAGTTGAGTGTGGAAAATTTGTTTGGTTATGAGTTTTGAAAAGAATTTTGAATTAAATTTGAAATTTTTGATGTGACATATGATATTTGATTCAAAAACTTACAACTCATAACCAAACACACAACCCAAAATGACCGGGCGGACGTCGGATGACTGGGTAGACGAGTTTTCAAATGCAGGTGTGGAATTAATTTTTGAAAGTTGTATCCAAACAGAGAGTTCACATGAAGGGGTAGAATTATAGTTAGAACGCTACACCAAACACAACCTTTATTTTTCTTTTTAAAAAAAGGATAACTACTTCTTAATCCTTTTGTACTTTCAGAAAACAATTCAGCATTTGGGCATAAGCATTCATAAGAAGACATTCAAAAGTAATTTCCATTATAAAGCTATGATGCTATGATCAGTGATCATGGATGTTAGTATCACACTCCAAAACAAACACAAGGTACTGGACATGAAAATCCCTTAAAATCAAGACAGTGGGGGAGTAGCTATATATTTTCATTTTTTGTGAATTGCTAAACTTGTGTGTAAAATCTTTTTTGTACATGGAAGGACAACATTGACACTGGGGGAGTAGCTATATATTTTCATTTTTGTGAATTGCTAAACATGTGTGTAAAATCTTTTTTGTACATGGAAGGACCACATTGAATAAAGTAGTAGACAAAGTAATAACTTTATAATATTTTTTTAATTAGAAAATATAATTCATTCATGCTTTTTGTAATTTGATGGTACTAAAATTCTTTTACCAAAATGCAATCATATGCTAGAGTTCTATAGAGAGTGATAGATCTAATAATATTTCCAACTCTTCCATGAAGTAATGCACCACAAGAAAAGGACCTTACTTGGAGTAGGCACATCTAATGAAGATGATCATTACTAACATGGTAACATGATTATCTAAATTTCAAAATTCATAAGCAGCAAATGAAGCTAACATCTTAAGATCATAAACTATGCTTCACTTGTTGAAGTAAAATCATGTAATATAATTAGTATCAATGTTAATATACATACAAAACATATATATAGTAAAATCATGTAATATAATTAGTATCAATGTTAATATACATACAAAACATATATATATAGAGACAGAGAGTTTAATACTTCATTTGTTGCTTTTAAAAAAATCATCAACCAGGGAAAAATACATTGTTGTAGCATCCACATCTTTAACAACTTCAGAGCAAAGTAAAATAGCAACCAAAACAAAAGAAATATAACAGTCAGAAGGAAAATATGGATGTACATGGACACATATACTATGGACTTATTATAAATGAAAATAAGAAGAGATGAGCAATCAGTGACAATGAAATAATCTGCAACTCCCAGTCATCATTAGCACTATCATAAGAAGAAAATGAAAGGCATGTACCTTTTGGGCTCAGCTATCATTATTTCAATCTCTGCCATTTGGGAATCATCCAAGTCATTCATGTATATATTCACATCACCAACCATGGCTGGAAAAAAGGGCATATCGTTTATAGACATGAATTTAGCACATACAGATAAGCAGCATAAAGAAGTCAAGTGGGGTATTTCATACGCACATAAAAATTAATGAAAAATTCATATGCAGATAAAAATTAATTTCCCTCAATTATGATTCAATTCTGACTTCTTCCTTCTCACAGTAGGGTTAGTGCTTTTAAATGCAATCAACTAGTGGACAAGGTATTTCATATATTGAGAATAGCATTGGGAAACTTGTAAATGGTAGGCATTAATCCAATGATGAACATGGAAATAATAGAAATTTAAAGTTTATATGCATACATCAGCCATCACAAGTAGAAGTTTTCATCACTGAATTATATATTTAATATTTTAAAAGGATAATAAACCCAATTAAAATTTACTACCCCTCAAAAATACTGCAGGAATAGAAAGTGAAGAGTTAAATTCTCTTTAGCAATTTTACGCATTCATAAAATCCATGCATATGTGATCAATTATAATCTCAACCATTCAAGAGATGTCCCCCACTGAAAAGCAACTACAAATTACAATCATTTTAGGTTATGTCTGATTCAAAGATTTCAGAGGGGAAAGGAAAAGAGATGGGAGAAGTGAAAAAATATAAGCTAAATTTTTGCCACTTTCCCTCCCTATTTCCTCTCTACAAATCTCTACTTAAATCCATAAATCCAAAACAACCTTCGGGAGCAACTTCAGTTCCCAACACAAGGAAACATCTACAATGCACAAGCCAAGACGTTCCAATTAACAGTATAATCAATAACAACCAAATATCTATATCTACATTAGTACGAAGTGACTTCATTATCTATATTTGTCATTCTTTTAAAATTAATCAAAAATATTTGAGCACTTAGAGAAAATTAACGGTGCTTTACCAAAGAGGATAAAAATTAGAGATTGTCATTTTTAGCACAACACTGTCCTTGACATCCAAAACTCTAACCTTTCTTATAAGTGCCAATCACAAAACTCAATTCCATAAAAAAGAACAATCAAAGTTATCCAACAAATTTAAGGGAAGTTCACAGACCCAATTATACACGAGAATCGAGCCTTCACAAAAAAAAACAAAACAAAACAAAACAAAACAAAAACAAAGAGGAAGAGGGTAGCAAGTCATAAATTTTATACCAAAAAATTAGATATTAAAATGAAGTTCATTACATGCCTAAAAGGCAACACGCCCTTCAAAAAGGGAAAACACTCCAAGCTACTAACACACAATGGAACTGTTTGGGACTTGAGATTTTAGCCTAATTTAAGCTAAAATTCACAAAAGGACAAAATAGGTTAAAATAGCCAATAAGATAAAATGTCACATCAAAGCCATAATCATTTCACTTTTTCTCTCACAAATATCACATCTAACTACAAAAAAATCCAATTATCTTCCGAAACACAAAAATTTTAGCCTATTAAAATAGTCAAAAACTAAAATAGCCAACTAAAATAACAACTTCCCAAACACTTACAATATAATCTACTAAATAGATTTAAATAAGCTCAAAGCGAGGCTAAAGCAATACAACACATTGGACAAATAAATTTTAAATAAAGTTCAATCCAATCAACACTCTTTGGTCAAGAAAACCCACCAAGGCTTCCAAACCAGCCCATGGTCTTAAACAAAACCACCCATGGTTTTGAAACAAACCCAACATGGATTTGAACAAACCAGCAGCAAACACTGCAGCAGCTCCTCAGCAGCAGCAACACATGGAGATTGTTCGGCCAAAACTCCGGCTGCACCAGAACAAAATACCATCTCCAACAAATATAAAAATCTCATGGGAGCCCACAAACTCAAGCCTTTTTGATATCACTCTTAACGGCAAATCAAAGATTTCCAGAAAAGCACACAGAAATTTACCCATCAACAAGAACCACCACAAGATCTTGCATACACAAACAAGAATCTAGAAAGGAAAGGGCAAATTTCATAGCAAATCTGGATAACCAAAGTGGGTTCTTAGTTCTCACCATGAAAGCTAACACCAGAAAACACCCCATCCGCCATGCAGAAGCAAACTCTTGAAGCAAGAGAAACGATAACCTAAGAGATTAAACTCTACAGCATAGAAGAGATATCTCAAAAACACATATCTCCCCGCAAAAAAAAATAAAAAAATAAAAAAAATAGTGTAGCCCGGGGGGACGCATCAGGGTTCTCAGGGGAGAAGATGGGATTGTATAACAGCCCCCATTCCATGGCTGTGAAAAGCCATAAAAAATCTCTACAGAGACCTTTTTCAACAGTGGTTAACCTTCACAAAATTGATACAAGCACAATTATAAGCACATATGTGTATGAAATTATCGATACAATAAAGAAATTTCATTAATATCAAGTTATCAACAATACTCCACACTGACTATACATGACAACCAAAATTCAATTGCAATTGCAAACAACAAGAGTATCAAAAGAACAGTAATAAAATAAAAAATAAAAATCATTCAGTAAATAAAAGAGGGAGTGTGCAAGTCCAACTGACCTTCAACATGGGCATCTCCGTGGATGAAGTCTCCAACAACCAATTCTTTATCCAAGACTATGAAAGTCTGCTCTGCAGAACAAACCCAAATTCAATAAGGAAATAATTGATCAAAACAAAGAGAACCCAGTTGAGATATTGAAGGGGGGGGGGGGGTTACTGTGGGGGTCTTGGGTCCAGGAGAGCTGCATCTGGTACTCCTCATCGAGGGTGAGGGGTTCGGACCCGGTGGCTTGGAGGAGGGCAGGGTCTTGCATCCATTGATGGTACTTAGGGACGTGCTCTTTCATGTACGGTACTAGTATCACCTTCTCTCCTTCCACACTTGCTTTCATTCTCTCTCTCTCTCTCTCTCTCTCTCCATCTTACATCTCCAACCTAATACCACTACACTAATAATCTCTTCACTCAATCCCACCGTACTTTTAATCCCTTCTATCATATGAAGCTAAACAAACATGACCCTAATGAGTTAGAAGAAAGAAAGAATAGAGAGATAAAGAGAGGAGAGATGAGAAATGTTGGCTTTAGGGATGTAATAATGGCCTGGCTCAAACGGGCCTCGCGGGCTCCCTCCGTTTTAGCGGGCTGGGTCGGGTCGGCCCATGGGCCAAAATGGGGTCCAGGCCCAAGCCCAAGTCCACTCATAATAGCGCCTGGCCCACAGGCCTAGGGTCGCGGACCAGGCCTAGTCGGGCCTTTTTTTAAATTATTTATTAGGAATAAAAAATAAAAGAAAAATTATACTAGAGTATTTTAATTAAGATTAATAAGATGTTTTGTTTGGTTATGTTTCATGATGATATTTAAATTTAATTATATATGACTTATTTTTTTTAATTATGAACTTATAATTAAAAAAGTATGTAATTATGTAATTTTTTTCTTTCGAAGTGAATAATTTTATATATATAAAAATGAAACTTTCAATATTACAATATTAAATTATTTATATAACATTTATTGAATGAATAATTTTTATTTCAAAATAAAATAAAATATTACAAAAATTGATATTATTAAATAAATTAGGTATAGATTACTGATGATAGTAGAGCAATTGCATCACTATAGGTCAAGTACATCCCAACCAAGTTGACACCTACTAGCCTACCAATCATTTGTATTATACTCCACTTCAATAATCTAATACCAAAAATAAAATAAAATAAATGAAATGAAATAATAAAAAACAAATTGTTGATCAATCATCGGAGGAGACAGACATTTCAGTCGCATTGCCCGAGGATATGTCATCGAAATCATTTTGAATTCGCTTATTTTCACTATAATTTTGTCTTCTTGTAAGCGTGTGCATATAATCTTTAGATATCATCAGTGCCTCAACCATTTCGGGTGAAAGCCAGCTCTGGTAATCACTCAGCACCCGTCTATCTGTACTAAAAGTTGTTTCTGAAGCAAATATAGAAATAGGAACGGTTAGTATATCATGGGTCATCTGTGAAATCACGGGCCACATAGTTTCATTTTATTTTCACCATTCCAAAATGTCAAAATCATCGGAATCATCCACTAACGGGCTTTCCAAATAACGTTGTAGTTCAGAACTACTTACACTTGCATGTTGAGATATTTTTCTACTTTTATTGCTAAAAAAACATTTAATCTCCCGTCTCGAGATGAGATTGCTAGTGTAGTGTGTGTAGGTATATTTACAGATACAGTTACCCTATATTCTTCAAATAATATGTTGCATGCTTGCATAATAGGGGCAAACTGTGTTTGATCAGCGTAAAGACGCTCTAAAAATTATTATAAACCAATTTCTTTACACCTATGATCAATTATTATGACTAAACCTAATAGATGAGGTAAATGATCAAAATATTTATCAAATTTTTCTTTCATTGAAGTAACAATGGTTACATAATATTCATTACCCATATATTTTACGAAAATTTTAATTATTTCTACGAGCATATATAAAACAAATAGTGAAGTATAAATATATATATATATATATATAAGAAAATAATTTTGTTGAAATATCAAAAATTTCTAAAAAATTTTTATGCAAGGCTACTTGGCGCCAATTAAGTTCCGTAAGAATCAATACTTCTCCTATTGATGTTGTTAAAAAAAATAAATCTATTACTCTTTTTTGTTTACAAGCTATTTTTAACATATTGTATGTTAAATTCCATTTACTATTTACACCTAAAACTAATTTTTTAAATGACATATTTTCTCGTTGACAAATCTTTTTATATTCCGAAATTCGATTACCAGAAGACATAATAGTAATAACTGCATTTTTTATTACAAGTACAGAAGTTTCGTATTCATGCATAACTTCTTTAACAATCAAATTTAAAATATGGACACAATAACAAACATGAAATAAATCACCATCAATAAGTAATTGTAAAATTGATTTTAAATAAGTTACAGTTTGATTATAATATGATGCATTATCTAAACTGATCGTACATATTTTATTTTGTAAAACTCACTCATATAATACATTTCTTATTTTTACACCAAGCAAATGACCAGTGTATGAAAGTTCAACTAATTTAAATGAAATAATTCTTTTATTTAATTTTCAATCATTATCAATAAAATGTGCAATGATGCATTGATATTCAAAACTATTATTTGACCACAGATCAGATGTTAAACAATCTCTTCCATTCAAAATTTTAAATATACCAAATAATTCACTTTTAACATCATTAAATTTCTTTAAAATCCTCTTTCTAGTAGGATTCTTGAAAAACTTTGATATTGCGGTACAAAATTTTTGTGAATTATTTCGGTAAAATCGAGACATTCACTAGTAGTAAAAGGTTGTTGTTCTTTTTTAATAATATAATAAACTACAAAATTTTATGCACGTATAAGATTATATGAAAATGTTTGTAAATTACCAGTTGAAGAAATCTCTAATTGCATTTGACTTCGAATATCAAGTTGTTGACTTTGTAAATGTTTGTTATCATGCATTTTTAGATGACTAGTACCCTCTGCAGATGCAACAGTACATAAATGTGCACAATATTTACATTTTGCTTTAAATGTAATTGTACCATTAGAATTATTTATAGATATTTTTTCAAAATCTTTCCAAACACTACTAGTTCTGCTTCTATATGATGATTCAACTGTTGGAAGAGAGATATCAGAAGGAGAATCAACAAATTTATGTTGTGTAGTATGTGTATCAATATCAATATAAACATTAGGAATATTAGGATCCATAGTAATGTAAGTAAAATAATATATAAGAATTAACAGTTAATTTAAATAATGTGTAAAAAATAATAATTAATATATGTACACAAATAATTAATGAAAAAAATGAGTAGCTAATAAATTTAATTAAACTAACTAATGTTACCGACTGGTGAATGCGATACAGAAATTAGCTTTTTCTGATAAAAGTTTTTTATTGCACAATTGCAATTGTCACTTAGGGATGACACTTCAAAATTAATTGAGAGTTGAGAGAGATTGAGAGTTTTAGAGAGATTGAGAAAGTTTGAGAGAGAGAGAGAGAGAGAATTATTTGTGAGATTTATTTTGAAAAAGGAAAGATATTTATAATAGTTTGAAAGTGTGAAGTAAATTTATAATATATATATATATATTACAATTTGAATTATAACCGTTTGAATATATATATTCATTCAATGAATGAAGAGTGAGTTG